CAGATTTTCTTCCAGACTAGCTAAGTTATACAACTGGCAGTAAATGGATAACAGTGCTAGAACACTTTACATGGGCAAGGGGCGCCAGACAGAAACTGAACAAGATCGGTCCAGTGACTGAGATCTGTGGGAAACCACGAGCATGAGGACATTTTGTGAAGTAAAATTGTAAATAGTGACTATGCTGCGTGATAATATGAAAACCTGTAGATCATCTACTAGGCTAACCCTGTTTTCAAAGTGCTGTATGAGCCAAAAACATCCTCAAAGGTAGGCAATACTTTCTCTTTAATACAACTGTACATGAGGGGAATTTAAAAAATAATTCACCGAGGCCTCATCTCAACTAATTTGGATCACTGAACTGGAAATCTCAGCTGCAATTTTTCCTGTCTTTGCTTTTTTTACTAACAACTCTTCCAGGAAGCCCATACTCTAGTTTTGGTGAGTGAAAATCTAGTGTTGCGTTTTACCTGATATTGGTTAACCAGTCTGTGTGCATTTATACCTGTACAGTATATGTATACACCTTGCTAATCAAGCTTCAGATCAGTCCAAAAAACCAAAGGTGACCACATCCATCTTTTCCAGAGTATATACGCCACACAACTTAAGCAGTTAAGCAATGACTCTTAAGTCAATGACTTAACTGAAATCTCCACTTTATTAGCTGGCAGACTTAACAAACATAAGGCAGAGCAGAGCTGGAACAGAATGACTAGTCTTGGCAGACCCACAAACAGGAGTACACACAATATGAGAGGAGATCACCACAACAAACAGAAGAAAACTTAGAGCTTAAATGTACACATAAGGAAATCAGGAGATGGAACACACAAGGAACAGAGGTGAACTAAATCTGACTAATGACACATGGGAAGCAAAAGTGAACCTACGCAAACACGATAGGGGACTAACAAAATAAAGCAGGCAGCAACACATAGAGACTCAGGTGAGGCTGACGCTGGGACTGGGGAATAATCAGACATGGAGACATGATAGATGGAGAAAAAAAAGAACAAAACAGACGTCAAAAGGAGACGCTGAAGACAGAACACAGAGACGGGACACGAAAAAGAGAAGATATATGAACGCAACCAAGAACCAAAAACTAGAAATTTAAGTTACAAAACTCAGAGGTTCTCAAAAACTGAACATAAGTATTTCATAATCCTACAGAATGAATAAAACAAATTATTGACCCGGGATTGTGACGAGGGCATGGAAATAGAAAAAAAGTACTTTAATAAACAGATGACATTTTTAAAACAAGCATATGATATATATTACATTTTATTTTCTGCCAAAATATATTCTGCCTGCCTGGATTTTCACCTCTTTTGGGAATTCTGTTGCTTCTAGTCTTTTAAGATCAAGACATAAGCAAAACTTGTCTTCTTTGGCTTGTGAGGCCAGTCAGTAATATAACACATATAAAAACATCCTCTGAGCTGTAGCACTTGCAGCACTCCATGCCAATAAGATTAGGAGGGGTTGAGTGCAGATAAGTGAGGGAGGGCGGTCCAAGATCTGACACAACAACTTGCAGTCACAGAAGAAAGAATGGCAGACGACAAGATGAGACCTTGTTTATTGCTGGCAACTTTTGTAAAGATCTAATCAAAAGAGGTTTTTCTGTGTCATTTGGCTCAACTGTCTCATTTTAACCCCATTCAGTTTTATTTCTATAACACGTTTAATGCACGCATAAAAAAACTAAACTAAATAAATAGAATGTCAAAAAAGTGTAGCAAAAGTCAAAACACCAAAGTAAACAATTGGAAATAAACAAAACAATCACAAACAACAAAATGTGGAATATGTCTTGGTGTCAAGGCAAAAAATTATGGGGCACCTAAAGTAAAAGCCAAAAAGTATCTTGAGGTTTATTTTGAAAATGATGGCTGTGTCCTTTAGATTCTGAGTAGGGCTGCAGAAGAGGTCAGCTTACAGGGTTTGAGGAATGTGCTAGCTAGAACTAGCTAGGCTGGTAATTTAATTGGCTCCAACCAGAGAATGTATTATTTATTTATTAAAGATGAACTGTTTTACCTCAGATATTATGATCTCTGCTTTGTGTTGATTTAACTTTCAGAAGTAGCATGACATCCATACACTTATGTAATTAGCAAATAATCTATATCTAAAAAAAAAATCATCAGAGTATGCAGTAGGTTTTTTTTATGTCTTTAATATATTTTTTTTCCTTTTTTAAATGGTAAGTTTTCCAACATCATATGTTAATGCAAATAAGACATGCTAAGTTGCATAACTGTTCAATAGATGATAAAATAAAAGCATAAATGTGTATTTTAGACATTTCACCATTATTCTAAAAGATGTGATAGAAAAAATGCACTAAATCTCCAAATAGATCCGTGTAGCAGCTTAAAAAAAGCAGCTTCTTTCTTCTTCTTTTTGTGACTTTGTGCCCTTTGTTAATGAAGTTATCTTCACTTCAGCAGATCAAAATGCTGACCATAAGAAGAAAAGGAAATATCTGAGGCCGTATCCTTGAGTTGATTCTTTCATTCCAGAAAAAACATCTCTCAAATACCATCTTCTCATCTGCTGCTGACTTGAGCGAAGTGAAAAATGCTCCTAAATCATGAATATTTTTAAACTCTATCCTTCTGTCTGAATGTGAATGTTAGTAGATGCTGCAAGACTTCAAACTGCATCTGCAGGATGTGACTGCATTGTATTTGTTTTGGTCCAACTACATCAGCTGACTGTACATTTTAAAGCTTTATTTTTATTTCATTGATCACTTTTTAAGTTTTGGACTAGATGAGGACATAGCAAACATCTTTGACCTGTGAATAATTAATGAAAATGAAATTCTCAGGCAGCACAAGGTGCTGCTTTCAGTTGATCCAAAACTCAGGTTCTGAATAAAGAAGTCTGACCTTCTCTGAGTGTACTGCACCAGCGGTATGGATGAAGCTGATGAGCCCACTCCATTCCTGTTTCAAAGAATGGGGGGGGGAGAGAGGTTTCTTCCATCTGGTTTGCACAAGTTATTTTTTTCCACTGTTACTATTTTACTTATATTTTTTCAATATGATATATATATATGTATGTGTGTATGCATGGACATGCAGTGCATGTATGGCTGCCTATGTGTATATTAGTGTGAAAATATCAAAGCAGGTCCATGAATCTCTCTGTTTCTCTACTTTATTGGTATATCCTGAAAATATAACTAGCTGTTAACAATTTATTTACTGGTCTTATGATGTGCCCAAAAGGAACAGTACCATTTGCCCTCTGATTGTTTTCAAAGGCATCCTAGAGTCCAGAGACCTAAAAAAAAAAAATTGATCTATAATTGCTATGAATAATATGGTTCTCCCCGCACAGTCTGTAGAGCATGGAGGTGATACTGGGAAATAGGCAGGAGTGTGGAAATGCATGAGCCCACCAGCAGGACCGGTGTCTGCTCCTTTGTGTGCAGGGAAATGAGAGGAATACAGCCAAAGTCTCACAACATTACCTCCAGTGGATTTCTTATGTGTATGTTTCTGACCAAACTGTTAGAAACCAACTCCATAAGGCTGGTATCAGGGCCCAATATCCTTCACCTTCAGTGGTACCTGTGCTTATACACCAGTGCTGTGCAGCTCAATTGGCATTCACCAGAGAACAACAGGACTGGCAGGTTCACTACTGCTACCCTATTCTTCTCATAGATGTTGCAGGTAATATAATGTTTTCCATGGTGTCTCCAGGCCACCCATTCTGGTGTTTTCTGGTGAATTCCAGGCACACTGCAAGGTGCTGGGCTGTAAGCACTGGTCCTGCTTAAGGGGGTCATGTCCTCATTAAAGCCTTTGAGTATCCCACTGCAGGTTATTTTGTAGGCATCCAGCAGTGCTCCTAGTGTTCCTCCTCAAACAAAAGACTTGATCTAATACCTGTCCAGTTGTCACTTTAATTTCAATCAAAGCAGGTAAAATTGATTGATGATGCTTGTTGGTTTCTAATAGGACAGACCAATTTCCCTAAAGTTTAACAGAGTTAGTTTTCTACTGGGATGATCAACTGTTTCTTTATGTTTTTAACAGTGTATCATTCCTGCAGACACGCTCCATACATTAATGCTCGTTGTCAGTTCACTGGATTACTGTACTAAAGATTCAATTTGATATGATATTGATGTAAAAGTATTTAGTTTTAGGTTATTTATTGGTTTCAGTGTGGTGGCATTTTACACCTAGATTTCAACAAATTTTAAAAATAAGAGAAAATTAAGTAAAATCAATTATATTTTTAAAAAGTGTGGAAAACTCAAAAACAATGAAAAGGAAATAAAGATTTTAACTGTTTAACTGAATGGAGAAGAGGAAGGATTAAGTACTTTACTTAAATACAGCTTTACAGGTTAAAGCAGTTCAGCAACAATGGTGGGTAAAAGTAAAACGTGTCCTTCACGATTATAGAAATGGGCTCTTTTTGAGTTTTTTCAGATCCTATTGCTGGTGCAGTAATGTGTGCAGCTTATGGTTGGATGTGATGGAGTAGTTTAATAAGTAACACCGCCTTGAGAGTCTAATTTCTTAAGGAAGAACGTGATGAATGGGATTCTTTGCAGACTGGAGTACAATCTATAAAGAATCTCTAGTCTACAGTGGAAGTATGAGGAGATCTAAAAACTGAAATACTCGAGTACAGTGTAGTTTGAACATAAACACAGCGCACGAATGAACATGTGGTTTCACCACTGAGTGACAGACATTCAGGGTGTTGTGCCAGATAACGTCTGCACTGTAAAGCCATAACTTCTCTTGTCTTTATAATCCATCCCATGGATAATGCAGCAGACGTCAAAAGATAACATAGAGTGGGCTCACTGTACTCTAGTTTAATTGCGCAGATTTACATCAAATATGCCTCAGCAGGAAATAACGTTTAGCAAATAGGTCTTATCACTCTTTTGCAGGTAGTCTGTTTAATTAAAAACGCTGCGCCTCCACTCACCGGCTCCTAAAGAACTCGGGGGGCGTTAAGACCCAGCAGAGGTACAACAGTGAACATCTGTCGCGGTCTCCTCTGTATGAATTGCGCTTGGGCTCCAGTCTGAAGACACACGGGCAGAGGCAGGCGGGCTGGTACAGCGCGGACGGACTGGAGTGCATTCGGGAGGCGAGCAGATGACGCTGGACCATGAGTGAAAGTGGAGCCTTACGCACTGAACCGCAGCGATAAGACAGCGCGCCGCAAAATGAAGACACCTATGGTAAAGGGTTTTGCCATGTAACCCCGCAGTCAAACTGTTTGTGCTCGCTTTTAAATCCAGCATTGTTCCGTCAAGTGCGCTATAATCGACATAACGCCGCTGTGGTGTACAGTGTCGGATCAAAAGATTAGGATCAGAACAATGGGCGTCCAGCTGTGCGCTCTGTTTGGCACTAAAGCTCCACTACAGCACAGCGCGCTGGATGCTTGATTTGTCTCCGTTTAATACGGATACACTGTAGAAAGTGAACAATATCCGTGTTGCTTTAATATTAACTGATAAGCATTAATTCTAAACTATTTTTTTAAAGAAATAAAGAAAAGAAAACAAATTGAAAGTGCCGTGAGCTGCTCATCCTGTTCATGTACGATTGGCATGAATTCACATAGGTGATTTATTTTTCTTTTTATTAGAACTTTTACTTAAAAGCTGTTGGTGTCCTCTGAGGTGTGGCACCTACTGTAAATTACAGTACACATGTGCTCCTCAACGCACCTGATGATTAATATTAATGCATGCAAACTAAGTAAAGAAGATAATTAACAGCCTGACAGCGTCATAAACATTAGCTGTGCCCTTATCATAGTTCGATAAAAGCTGTTTTTAAGTTTTTGGTCGCACGTGACATGCATTACAGGAAGTTGGGCTTTTACTGACAAACCAGCGCCTGCTGCTGCCGCTCATCCTGCATGAAGTCCGTAGGTGCAGGTTAAACTCAGTCCGGTGGAACTCGGCTAATTTGCCCGCATCTGCTTGTGTCTTTGTGTCAGCGCCATGGGGTAGCCGTGCTTCTCGTGCTTCTCCTGTGCGCCAGCTTGTTCCTCGTGTACAACGGCAGCTTCAACGGCGCTTCCAGAGACGCCAACGACACGCGCATCAGGCAGCATGAACAGCTGCGGCGGCCCACCGAAGCCTCCGTCGGGGTCGCCAAGCCTCACCCCCCGATCCTCCAGGGATACAACAGCATCATCGACCATAAGGTAAACAGATGTGGCTGAGTGCGTGTCTCATAACGCAGAGAACGGGCGCGTGGTTCGCTTTAACACGTGGTGAATGCCCAGCAGAGTAGGCATCAAAGCTTTTGAAAGTTTTACTTTTCTCCAAACCCCTTTTTTCGGCACTGAATCTTTCCCAGCCTGAGCCGCACTCACGCAAATTTCCTCTTGTCCTGACGACCAGTAGCTGTCTTTAGAGAGAGAGAGAAAGAGAGAGAGAGAGCATCCTCTCTGTCATTTATCACAATTTTCGCCGGCGCTGCGTTGCGCCACATTCAATACCCACCTGTCGTTACTAATAACAGCTTAGGCTACAAATGAAATCCTCGACTGCATTCTTAAGCTCTAATTGATAAGCCCAGGAGACCCGCAGCTAGGTGAACTCTGACGTCATTGTGGGGTTGTATTGACTGCCATCTGTTTACCAAGCCAGGAGAAAACAATCAATGAGAGTACCGGGGAGCGAAGCCTCTGCAAGTAAAGCAGACCCATTCACCTTGTGAAGGCGTTTTCAGTAAGCGTGCAGGCACAGCGTACCACCATGCAGGCGGTTTGGCTGGTGGGCTCTCCCGACTGTCTGAAACTGCTGGATTTAAGAATGACAAATTTGGAGAAACGTTCTGGCCACAATCATTCATTCAGATGTGCAGGAGCAAAACACCAATATGATTTGTGGCTATTTGTAGTTGCTGTTTCTTTAAGTCTTCTTTAATCACTTTGAGTTGCTGTTCTCATTTTGTATCCCTCTACTGTCATATGCCTTATTACTCTTATTACTTATTACTTCTTTTTTTTTAGCCGTGATTTCCTTTTTTTCTTTGCTTCCCCTCGCGTTTTGCATCGATCTGTGCTCATTTTGTGTCCATATAGGCTTTTTGCATCCCTTCACTAGTAGTCTTTTTTTTTTATTGCTCTAGTGCAATTTAGGCTCCACTCATTATCATTTCACATCTCTCTGTAGTAGTCCTCTTTTTCAACTGAATTTTATCTTTTAGTCTCTTTTGCACTGCTTTACATTGATTTTTAGCTATTTTCTTTCACTTTTGAGTCATTTTGTGTCTCTTCTATCATTTTTGCATCCCTGAAATAGAATTTTACCTGTTTAATTGTTCTATGCCTCTTTGATATTTTTTGCATAATTGCCCATTTAGCTCTGTCTAGACATTTAGTATCTATTCTTTTTCATTGTAATTCCCCTCATTGTTTTATGTGTCTCTGCAATCAGTTTGCATCTTGCTTTACTGATTCTCACTCTCTCTATAGACATTTTGCATCTATCTGAAGTAATTTTACCTATTTTTGTAGTCATTTTGTACCTCTGTTGTTATTTTGTTTCAGTAGTTATTTTTGCATTGGTCTATTGCCATTTTAAATATATTTGATGTCATTTTTAGTCTCTCAGCAGACACGTTAAATCTTTTTGTTGTCACTTTGTGCATCTGTAGTCATTTTGTATCCTTTCCTTGTCATTCCACCTCTTTCTAGCAATTTTACATCTGCAGTCATTTTGCATCTGAGTGGTTGTTTAATTGAGTTTTAAACAAGAACAGTCACTTCTCTGGCCCCTGAGCTCTGCTGGGCTTGTGTCCAGACGGTGCATACAGTAATCCGTCAGTGGCAGGACTGAAGACACCATGAGTGACAGGCCAATTTGTGCTGCCATCTCTGTCTTAAAAAACAGTATCTGCTACCTGCTAGAAAACGAGCATCAAGTCATCAGATTATGTCATAGGCTGATTTACATATGAGTAATTGGACCTGCTCTTAGATGAGGCTGTGGCTGTACAAATGAGACAAATATGCAACGTGAGTATGTTCCAGCCACATCTGGGAGTCAACCCACTGTTCCTGAACATCAGAAAAAGTAGCCGGGTTGGTAAATGAACTTCTTTTAAATTAAACACCAGAGGATCTGAAGAGTCATTTAATCTTGTGACAAAGTAATCGAGGTCGGCAACAGATTGTAGAACTATTATTCACTAAAAGAAATCTCACCGGTGCAGAAACCAACAAGTGTGGAAACCTTTAATGCTGCCTGAAAAGTTCAGCTGGCAGTTTTCTCAGGAGACATGCTGCTTGTATTTCTTCGTGAGTTTTTCCTCCGAGTAGCTCTGCTCTACAGAAAATGCACGTTTGTCACCTTTTGGGTGTATTTACTTTACATGTCATCATGGTGATTTCCGATCTGTGTTTCTAGTCAGCCCATGTGTGGCAGGAATGAAGACAGCATGACTGACATGCTGATTTAGGCTTCCATTTCTCTCTATATATTTCTCAAGGGAAGGATGTATCAGCTGCTTTTAAAAACAAAAGGGTTTTAAGTCATTATGTTTTAGGTTGTGTCAAATTAGTATCCCAAAGTTATATATATTATCATATTTTAAATTTTTTTTTTTTATTAGATGTGATGAAATTTTTCTCAGTTGTCTAAAATTAAAGGTGTTATTTGGTTTTCTGGTTATGCTGTTAAAACTGAGCAGAACAGCAGTCAGATATTTGGCCAAATCCACACTTTCACCATATTATCCAAATGGCTTCAAAACAAAACAGGAAATTAACATTATGGCTGAATCTGTTAATAACACATGCAAATTTTATTTGTTTAATATGCAGTCACTGTTATTCACACTTTTTCTGTGTCTGTGGTATCTCAACATGAGTTTTACACCTTAAATTTGTGGACACATTTAGTAAAAGGCTGTTTCTTTTCTTGTAGTTCATGTTTAGTATTTTGGATCTTTTCTTACCTTACAGTGACAGTAAAGCACTGGCAGGAAATTTGTGACATGCAACAAAGATCCCAGTTAAAGAGTTTGAAGCTTGTAATTGGCTTCCAGGGTGGTTTATATACAGAGGGCCTTCTTGAGTCATTACTTCTTTAACAGTGGTTAAAAAACTTGGTTTAGAGTTAAGGTGAGAAGACGATTTTGTAAAGAGAGGGATGTGTGGTTGCAGCCTTACAATACACCTCTATGCAGAAAGCTAATGCAGTATTTACCAATACTGCAAATGTGATAGTTGTCCATGTCCACTCTGGAGTCCAGACCACAATTTGCATGTAAGAAGTAGGTACATTTGTGCCCGACACTCCTATTCTGCTTTGGAGTCCAACCTTTAATTGTATTATATCTGTGAGATTTGTGCTAAATATGCTTCTTTCAAATATGGGAAAACTTTTAATGTTGTGAATTTGATTTAACCAGTGTGGGTTATGGACCTCGTTTAATAGAAAACATTCAAATGCAGTTAGGGTTAGTATTTACCCAGAGGTGCAGTCGATGTGCCACTGGCTGTTTAGCTCTTTGACTCTGACTTGGAATTATTGTGCAGCTAGGTCACATAGATCTCTCCAAAGTCAAGCAGAGCAAAAGTAAATACGAAATGAGTCATTGCTGTCATATTTTCGGAAACCCAGGGCACGCAGCACCATCTTTTTTTTCTCACTGCCTCAAATGCCAATATTCAGTGACCATGCATGTTTTGATTTGATGAGGATTTGTCTGTAATGCGTCAGTAAGCCCAGCTAGGGATGAGAATTGATTTTCCTCGAGTGAACTGGAGCAGCCGAGCATCATAAGTAAACTACTAATTTATTTTTTCTCTTGGCAATAGATTTTTTTGACATTTTGGCAACAAGGGATATCAATTAGGGCCAGAGCACCACTGAACATCATTTATGCTGCTTGAAACCTGCTATTATGTCACCCGTCTTGTTCTCTCACTGCAAACTCCAATCAATATTCTATGATCTGAATGCGCAGGCTACTATAGCGTGCAGCACGGTAAAGTCTTCAAAAACTTTCCGTGAACTTTTTATGTACCCGAAAACGTGGCTGAGGTTTTTCTGTGTGTATTAAAGTGTAAAAGTTGTTGGCCTTGTCTCAAATGTGTTCTCCTGCAGTGTTGAATGATCATTGTTTGGGGAGGAAAAAACATACTGAGTCGAACATTTGTCTTCCTCATCTTTGCTTGCTGACCTCGCCGCCATATTGATCTCTCCAAGATATCAGCTGGCTGGCACACGGGCGCAGTGTCAGTCAGCCTTTGACCGCTTCACTTTATCTTCCACCAGAGTATTAAACTCATGACAGCCCAGAAACCATTTGGAATCTTATATATCTTCTGCAGACACTTGGCCAAGATGCTAAAGCATTTGCCAGAGTCCTTAAAATGATTTTCTCTATGACTGTTTGAACCATCTTTGAAATAAATAGATGAATAAATAAATGCATGTATGCATTTGAAATCCATTAATTCTTTCATAGCCAGAAGTTTCAACACCACATGTTTGATTCAGTTCAGAGTGAAAGGTAATTTATTTTGAGCTACACAGCAGCATTGGTGGGCCTGGACTTGTGCTGTGAATGAGAGTGACCAGATAAGAAAGCAGAGAAAGAAACTTAGGGTGGAGATGAAAAGGGAAAGAAACTCTTGTAGAGTAAGGGCAAAGAGAATGAGAGAAAAGGACAAAACTGGGGAAGGGGAAGGACGAAGAGAATGATAAAAGAGAATATAGGAGCCAGGAAAGGTTCAGCCTGAGAGAATGAGACAAGAGAGTGAAGGAGGAGGCAGAAACTGACACAGAAGTGAAAGATGGAGTGAAATCCCTAAGGGTTTCCTTTCTTCTTGCACTATCCTGCTTTTTATTTTCTCAGTGAGAAGGTGGAGGAGGAGGAGGAGGACTGGAAACCACTCTTGTCTGTCTCTCAGTGGAGATGGGAGGACAAGAAAGCGTCTGTCTTCCTCTGATTGCCTTCCTGACACCAAAAAACATGCAAATTTTGTAAAAAGTGATATCCTGCATGTCAGGTGGAGTTAAGAAAGGGAGGCTAAGGTCCTTATATGTGGCTGGAGAGAAAGGAAACAGGTGGATTTTTCCTGTGATTAAAGGTCAAAACCAAGAGAAGCAGCCTGGTTGCTGAGTAGCCCATGTTCTCCAATATAAACTATTTGTTTCTTTCATCTACAGTTAAGTGACACCTCTC